CCAGTAGTAGGTGGAGCACTCCAGTAGTAGGTGGAGCACTCCAGTAGGTGGAGCACTCCAGTAGTAGGTGGAGCACTCCAGTAGGTGGAGCACTTCAGTAGTAGGTGGAGCACTCCAGTAGTAGGTGGAGCACTCCAGTAGGTGGAGCACTCCAGTAGTAGGTGGAGCACTCCAGTAGTAGGTGGAGCACTCCAGTAGGTGGGACACTCCAGTAGGTGGAGCACTCCAGTAGTAGGTGGAGCACTCCAGTAGTAGGTGGAGCACTCCAGTAGTAGGTGGAGCACTCCAGTAGGTGGAGCACTCCAGTAGTAGGTGGAGCACTTCAGTAGTAGGTGGAGCACTCCAGTAGTAGGTGGAGCACTCCAGTAGGTGGAACACTTCAGTAGTAGGTGGAGCACTCCAGTAGGTGGAGCACTCCAGTAGGTGGGACACTCCAGTAGTATGTGGAGCACTCCAGTGGTAGGCGGGACACTCCAGTAGTAGGTGGAGCACTCCAGTAGGTGGAGCACTCCAGTAGTAGGTGGAGCACTCCAGTAGGTGGAGCACTCCAGTAGTAGGTGGAGCACTCCAGTAGGTGGAGCACTCCAGTAGGTGGAACACTCCAGTAGGTGGAGCACTCCAGTAGGTGGGACACTCCAGTGGTAGGTGGAGCACTCCAGTAGGTGGAGCACTCCAGTAGTAGGTGGGGCACTCCAGTAGTAGGTGGAGCACTCCAGTAGGTGGAGCACTCCAGTAGTAGGTGGGGCACTCCAGTAGGTGGAGCACTCCTGTAGCAGTAGTTCATCGTCTGGGTGGTTTAGTTTCGTGGCGCCCTAAAGCTTAACTACCAACAGGGCGTTTTCGTTTTAGCACCCTATTGCTAGATCAGCGTGAAGATGAAAGCGACGTGACCCCCCCCCCCCCCCTCAAACATCAGACCATCACCTGCCAACCACCAGTTAACCTTCACACTAGACTTTACTCAAACCCCTCTTCCCAGAACAAAAACCGCCTAACGCATACATAAGAAAATTTTATATTTAATGATAGGCCTTTATAAAAATAAGTGCAATATACCAAAATTATTATTCAACACAATATTAAACAGTTTTAACGGTAATTTTAAAGTCTGTATTTTTAAACCGCATGGCGCTTGAGTAGAAAAGAATTATCGGGAAAGTTTCAGTGATGTTATCGCAATGTCTTTTCTTCCCTCTGTAGGGAAACATTTCCCCTTAAAGCAGGACTTATTGCTTGCTAAAGGACCCTTGAGAAATCTCGAAGGTTCCCCACTGAACAATGACACCGACGAGTTTTGGCCCTCGCGATGCAGTTCCCGTTCAGTTCCCGTTCCTTTTGACAAGTCGTGTAAAGTTCAATAGGTGAGGCAGTAGACGCATGCACCTGCTAGAAACCCTCCCCATTCTCAGATTTCAATTTTTTGCTTAGTCTGTGAGTCTTTTCTTCCAATGGAGAGTTAATGATAGGACGATTCTTAAATATTTTTATTTTATTTCGTTAATAACTAATTTTAGATCATTATTTTTTTTGCAAAGAGCTACGTACAAATTCGCTGATTTAAAATGTATAATATATATATATATATATATATATATATATATATATGTGTGTGTGTGTGTGTGTGTGTGTATTTGTGTGTATGTGTGTATACAAGTGTGTGTGTGTGTGTGCGTTAGAGAAACAGGTAATTTGATTTCCAGTATTTTTTTGGCAAACAAAGCTAGAAGAAAAACAGAAAGTAAATGGTTCTGGAAAAATGATTTCATTTGGTAGGCATCAGTACTGGGGATCGCAGGAGATAAACACTTCATTCCCTTCTAACTTAAGACTAGCTGATCCCCCCCCCCCCCCAGTCTTATAATGGTGGCCCCTACAACGTAGATTCCCCCTAAGACCGGTAGCACCTATGACGTACCCCCCCTACCTGAGTCTAAAACCGGTGGCACCTATGACGTATCCCCCCCAGATCTAAGACCGGTGGCACCTTTGACGTATCCCCCCCCCCCAGTCTAAGACCGGTAGCACCTATGACGTATCCCCCCCCTACCTGACTCTAAGACCGGTGGCACCTATGACGTATCCCCCCCCTACCTGACTCTAAGACCGGTGGCACCTATGACGTATCCCCCCCACCTGACTCTAAGACCGGTAGCACCTATGACGTATCCCCCCCCCCAGTCTAAGACCGGTGGCACCTATGACGTATCCCCCCCCCAGTCTAAGACCGGTGGCACCTATGACGTATCCCCCCCCTACCTGACTCTAAGACCGGTGGCACCTATGACGTATCCCCCCCCCAGTCTAAGACCGGTGGCACCTATGACGTATCCCCCCCCCCAGTCTAAGACCGGTGGCACCTATGACGTATCCCCCCCCCAGTCTAAGACCGGTGGCACCTATGACGTATCCCCCCCCCAGTCTAAGACCGGTGGCACCTATGACGTATCCCCCCCCCAGTCTAAGACCGGTGGCACCTATGACGTATTCCCCCCTTACCTGACTCTAAGACCGGTGGCACCTATGACGTATCCCCCCACCAGTCTAAGACCGGTGGCACCTATGACGTATCCCCCCCCCCCTCAGTCTAAGACCGGTGGCACCTATGACGTATCCCCCCCCCCCCTCAGTCTAAGACTGGTGGCACCTATGGCCCCCACAAAACCTGGAGCTGTCAAGTTGTGTTTATCCGGTTGTTTGACGTTAGCTACACACTCGGTTAATCTCGCCTTAACCCACAATCCAGGTAATCACCGCCTTCAGGTAATCACCGCCTTCAGCCGTACGCGTTCATTCACTCCACAACCAGACCTGCCCACTGAGGCCGCTTGCAAAAACACAAAAACAATCCATTTTTACATCCACAAACACCAGACTTCATTTAAACATATTCTAAAGAAATCCCCACTAAGTCAGAATCAAAACTTTAAAATATTTTTGCAAGAACTATTTTTTATGATGCGAGAAGCCCGGCCCACCCACACTCTACTCGTCAGGTCTCGTCTGCTCCGAGTGTGTTCACGAGACGGCCTGTCTTCTGCTAAGTTTGAATACCCGCAGGAATTGAAAGGCTGCTTCAGGCTAACAATAGAAAACTACCCACAAACCAGTGCGTTCAACTTTTCCAAAGTTTTATTAATGGAGTTGTTTGCTCTGAAAATTAGATTTTGTTATTGTTAAACATAAGCTATAGACCAGTTTTAGCGATAATGGGTCGCTTTTCATCGAGGCTATGCTGTAGCAGGCCCTATACCGCCAGCATAGATTAGTCGGGGTCTCGTGTATCTAGGCCTAGCTATGTCAAATGGGGTGGGTGTGGTGGGGGGGGGGGGGGTCTGTTCCTTGTTGAACTTCGTTCGAAGTGTTGAACATTATGTCGATGAACTCGAGAGTCCGACTTTTTCTAGGACGTGTCATTGGAATCCCGAATGGGGCTGGTAACACGAAGTATTATGACAGATAAATATACCATACGACACGTGGATATAGCTAAAAGATACCCTTATAAAGTTAATTACTAAATTATTTTTTTAGTAACTTACTTGACGAGTAAATTTAATCGCTTCTCATTAAAAAAAAACGGCTTAACGCTGTGTTGTAGTGAGTGTTTTTTTATCGTTGTTGTTGATGTTTTTTGACGATAGTCAAGGTAAAGATTTTGTTTTGGATAATGGATGACGTCAGCGCTGTAATACTATTGAGAAAACTAATCAGGTTTCCTTAAAAACTTTATCGTTTTCCTTAACTACTAAATCAGTTTTCCTACGAAACTAAATCAGCTACCCTACGAAACTAAATAAGTTTTCCTAAACAACTAAATCCGTTTTCATACGAAACTAAGTCAGTTTTTCTACGAACTACGAAACCAAATCAGTTTTCCTACGAAACTAATTCAATTTTCCTTCGCAACAAAATTAGTTTCCCCACTTTTCTTTGAATGATCTAAAATCGCAAGTGACGAGGGTTTTTTAAATGTAGCAGATCATGCGCCATTGTAATTTGTGCCGCGTCGGCGTTTTCTTATGCTGTCGTCTGCAAGTGAATATCATTCATTATTGAGGTGAATAGAGCCGGGCAAGTTGTGAGGTTTTAGCTCCCCGAACTGTGAGGTTTTAGCTCCCCGAACTGTGAGGTTTTAGCTCCCCCGAACTGTGAGGTTTTAGCTCCCCGAACTGTGAGGTTTTAGCTCCCCCGAACTGTGAGGTTTTAGCTCCCCGAACTGTGAGGTTTTAGCTCCCCGAACTGCCGTGATGCTGGATAAAACGGCCAGCTGATGTAACCTTTTAGCACGCATGAGGACAAAAAGCCAGGAATGTAATTCTCATTGTAAACACAGCATGCGAGAGTCGACGCTGGATGCCAGAGCTTGAATGCCAGGTTTATTAACAGTTAAACGATTCTTCACAAACGGGATATAAAAAAGCGCAAAGATTAAAACATTCTTGTATCTTTTGGCGATAGTGCTCGTAAATAAAAATGTTTTCAAAACATGAACAGCTTTGAACTTTTGTCCCTGACCTAGGTTAGCAGAAGTTGAGTTCACCCCGCCCGGGCATTGCTGTATGTCGCGACTTTTTAAATAAATTGCCGTTCCGGCAAGACGTTGTCCTGGCTAATATTAATATATCCTTATGAGCAAGCTAAGCAACAGTTTAAATGATAAATAATCCACGAGAAGATTTAGAGAAACTTCCAAAAAAGATTTTAAAAATAGTTTACAAATGTACCCTTATAGTCGTCTTCTTGGAACAATAGAATAAATTGTACTGAGTCAAAGAATAAGCTTTCTGAGTCCATAGCTACATGGTTATTAAAATGTCATAATTAAGCTTTTATGAATTGATTTGTATTTTAATGAGTTTAAAATCTAAGCAAGCTACAAATATTTCAATTATTTAAGAATATATTGTTGCTAGTGTATCGCTACTGCGCCATCTGAAATTACCCCACCCCCTCCTGAAATGAAAAAGACATAAGGAAATACTAAAGACGAATCTACTCACCATCCACGCAAAGCCGAAGGGAATCTGCACGAGCGTCTGGTGGCTATCCAATGGGTATCTGAACTCATTGCCTCCCAGAACCTCCGTCGTGAAGTTCCCGAACGTGCAGTGGCCCTCAGCCGACACGATGTCCATAAACTCCTTGAGACAAACCCGCACGTATGTCTCGCACGAGTCCTTGCACCCTTTGGAGGGGTCCTCGCCCTCATCACAGCACGTGCCTACAGCCGTCTCACCCCGCACATTCCGCACACTCTCAAGCTGGGGACGACAAGGGCGGGGGGGGGGGTAGTCATAGATACGTCATAACCGGCTCGTCAAGGTCAATGTCAGGATCAATGTCATGGTCGATGTGAGAGTCCATGTTACAATTTATGCTAGGGTCAACTTCATGGTCAGTGTCATACTTAATGTCAAGGTCAATGTCATGGTCAATGTTAGAGTTTGTGTTAGGGTAAACGGCATGGTCAATGTCATAGTTCATGTCATAGTTGATGTCATGGACGACGTCATAATTTGTTTACTAATTCAGCCATTTCAAAATAAAACTTGTAAGTGGACAGTTGGGTATTACTGTATGTGAGAGGCAGTGTAAAGGTGGGACAGTTTATAAGTTGGAGTAATGCTGTAGGAAGGTGTTGCTGCATGAAGCCGTGTCCTTGACCTACCTGCAGTTGGAAGACTCCCGTCCCAGCCGTCGGGTCTGGTGCCAGTAGAAGCAGCAGCGGCACACAACGAAGCAGCAACTCAAGCATCCGACAGGGCAGACGACTCATCGTTCGCACCGCGCGGCTTGCAACAGGTGAGTGTTCTCCCCCTAGAATATCTTCCTCCGTCGCCCCTGGGGTTTGTATCGCATACTCTCGCGTCACTTCCGCTGGAGCACGTGCTTGGGAAACTGTGTGCTGGATACCGGGACGGACCGCGAACCAACATTCCTACAGCTGGACTGCATGGGAAGTGGACTACGTACGTCAGGCAGCGCCCTCTAGGGTGCCGGACCGGCGCCTCATGGTGCCATGCCCCCTCTCTAGAGGCGGCGCAATGAAATACACATCACCGTCACACAAAGCAATCCGAGAAATCAGAAATGTACTCCAAATCAGAACTGCACCAAATCAGAACTTTGCACTAAATGAGAACGTTGCACCAAATTAGAACTGTACTCCAAATCAGAACAGTCCACAAAGTTAGAATTGTCCTACTTTCTATGACTAACCCGAACTGTCTATCACTTAAAAGCTATATTTAGAGTACAAAGATTGATTAAAATAAAATTCACACAATAAAGCTAACATTCAAACGAAGTCGGGAGTGGAGTAATACTTCTAAAATCGGGAGTGGAGTAATACTTCTAAAATCGGGAATGGAGTAATACTTCTAAAATCGGGAGTGGAGTAATACTTCTGAAGTCGGGAGTGGAGTAATACTTCTAGAGTGGGGAGTGGAGTAACTTCTAAATTCTAAAGTAAGACTACAGAGTTGAGCAGTAAGCAGCTAGCAGGACATGACAACGGACTAGTATCTCGACGGGACCAGGTGTTTACTGTATGTGACGTATTCCATTGTCCAGGTCACGTGACTTTTAACGACACATGCGGTGTGTTTATCCTTGAGCCACCTAAACCTGACATAAATTATGTACTCTAGCCCATTATGAGACGCTCTTTAAATGACGGGTTTCGGAATAATTCGGCTATTATTGGTAGGATAAAAACTCCACTGTTTCCACTTGAATGAGACTCCTCTAGCCGTCCAGACGGCCATAGCCAGGGATCAACCGGTCTTTTAACCGTCTAGTCTCTCTATGGAGGTAACATCGTCATCATCTCGTCCTAGCGAATAAGTTGATCTACACAATGAAGTTAATGGTCGCCCAGTGTTGACAAGAAGGGGGAATAAAGCAGGCGTTGATGAGATCCCCCCGCGCCCTTTCTGTGTTCACCACCCCGAGATGCGTATCTGGGGTGTGCTCGACCCTCGCGCCTTGACGCCCCACAACTTACCCGGATGATAATAAAACGCATCCACAATCGCGGCCATTGTGCTGGGAAAATGTCGCACTTATTTGACGGACTTTTTCTTTTACTTTGAAGTTTTACTCCGTGTTTCAATGGGGAGAGATAGGCGTATTTACAGGAAGGTGTGTGGTGGGGATGTGGGGGGGGGGGGGGTGGATATCATTAATATGTCTTTGATTTTTCTAAGATGGAGGAGGTGAAGGTTGAGAGGGGGGGGGGGTGTCCATTAAATAAGACTATTTTTAAATCGGTGGTTTGGTAGGTGATCTGACATTACAGATTCATATGTTGTTTTTTTTTGGGTGTCGAGTCAATGTCTCATCGAGTCAATGTCTCATCAAGTCAATGTCTCATCGAGTCAGTGTCTCATCGAGTCAATGTCTCATCGAGTCAATGTTTCATCGAGTCAATGTTTCATCGAGTCAATGTTTCATCGAGTCAATGTTTCATCGAGTCAATGTCTCATCGAGTTAATGTCTCATGCAGTCAGTGTCTCATCGAGTCAATGTCTCATCGAGTCAATGTCTCATCGAGTCAATGTCTCATCGAGTCAATGTCTCATCAAGTCAATGTCTCATCGAGTCAGTGTCTCATCGAGTCAATGTCTCATCGAGTCAATGTTTCATCGAGTCAATGTTTCATCGAGTCAATGTTTCATCGAGTCAATGTTTCATCGAGTCAATGTCTCATCGAGTTAATGTCTCATGCAGTCAGTGTCTCATCGAGTCAATGTCTCATCGAGTCAATGTCTCATCGAGTCAATGTCTCATCGAGTCAATGTCTCATCGAGTCAGTGTCTCATTATAAAAACGTGTTTTTTAAGCTTTCTGCCACTAGATTCTGTAGTTAGGACAGCTCGCTACATTCTCAGTTCTGCCAATGTCCAGTTACAGCAAGTTTGATGATATATTTCACTCTGAGTCCTTACCCTGCGACTCATTGACAATTTTACAACTTTTCCCAGACGCGACCCAACGATGGCCAAACTATTTCCTTAGTTCTCTGAATATCCCATGCGTATAGCTGCGAGGTTGGCACGGCCATAGTTTAATTACACACGTTTTTTACCAGTTAATTTTTATCAGACAGCTTTAATCAGAACGTCAAGAATTAATTATGCTTAACAAGAGACGTGGATCTAACAGGGTAGTCGTTGAATATCTGGCCGTTTCCTGACATGAAGGAGAGATCCAAGTGTGGAGAGCTCATCAAACAGTAGGTGACACCGTGTTGACTGAACACATTGACAGTACAAAGTGTTGATACTCGGGTGACACCGTGTGGACTGAACACATTGACAGTACAAAGTGTTGATACTCGGGTGACACCGTGTGGACTGAACACATTGACAGTACAAAGTGTTGATACTCGGGTGACACCGTGTGGACTGAACACATTGACAGTACAAAGTGTTGATACTCGGGTGACACCGTGTGGACTGAACACATTGACAGTACAAAGTGTTGATACTCGGATGACACCGTGTTGACTGAACACATTGACAGTACAAAGTGTTGATACTCGGGTGACACCGTGTTGACTGAACACATTGACAGTACAAAGTGTTGATACTCGGGTGACACCGTGTGGACTGAACACATTGACAGTACAAAGTGTTGATACTCGGGTGACACCGTGTTGACTGAACACATTGACAGTACAAAGTGTTGATACTCGTCACACACCTCGGCGCGTGACCAAACCGGGTAATTTTAGACGCGAGTGCATGGGGCTAAGAATAGACAACATGGCGGCGATGTTGACGTAGGCGATTAGGTGACGTTTACACAAATAATTAAGTGACGATTTACACAAATGATTAAGTGGGTGTAGCAGGCGGTGATACGATACTGTTTAGCTAGGTATGGGTTCGGGGCGTGACAAACTTACAGCAGACGATCGCTAGTGTGGAGAAGCAGACGATATCTTACAACTGGAAGAATACAAAAGACTACGCCTCAGAACAAACTCCACACAAAAGAATCTTACATGACATTCAGGCAAAAATGATGGGATATAATTGGAAAAATAATCGGGTTCTGGGGTACGGTACAGAAACCAGAGATAAAGAAAGAGGAATTGATGTCTAGAATTTCATGCCTGAGTTTATAGCCCGGGTTAAGACTTTGTCGTCTGCTGGTTGTGAGAAGTAAGACTAAATTTCTTCCACGTTTGGAACTAGTTCCAAAGATAACAAATTAGTTCTAGATGTTTGAAAAAAAAATACAATCAAACTTTCATCATTTCTCGTCTGCTCCGAAGATCATTGTAAGAGAAGAAAAAACCCAGCCGTTAAGCGTGGCTGGTGTTTGCGGGCGGGAACAAGGTGGAAGGTAATTCTCATTGGGCAAGACACCACCAGGTCTTGATTGGAAGGTAATTCTCATTGGGCAAGACACCACCAGGTCTTGATTGGAAGGTAATTCTCATTAGGCAAGACACCACCAGGTCTTGATTGGAAGGTAATTCTCATTAGGCAAGACACCACCAGGTCTTGATTGGAAGGTAATTCTCATTGGGCAAGACACCACCAGGTCTTGATTGGAAGGTAATTCTCATTGGGCAAGACACCACCAGGTCTTGATTGGAAGGTAATTCTCATTAGGCAAGACACCACCAGGTCTTGATTGGAAGGTAATTCTCATTGGGCAAGACACCACCAAGGCAGCTTAGGTGAGGGGAAACTAGGCCCTGATGACGTCATGTGTACCGGCTAATTACCGAGCCGCACCACCTGTTCAGTCATAACAACTCTTTTTTTTTTTAAAGACGTGTGTTCTCCTGGTAGTCTGCTAGACATACTGGTGATTGTTTGGTAGTGGTTGTTTGGTGGTTGTTTGGTGGTTGTTTGGTGGTGGTTGGAAGAGGGTGGTTGTTTTATGGTGGTTGTTTAGTGGTGGTTGTTTGGTGGTGGTTGTTTGGTGGTGGTTGTTTAATGGTGGTTGTTTGATGGTGGTTGTTTGATGGTGGTTGTATAGTGGTGTTTGTATTATGGCGGTAATTACGGTCGGATAGCGGTAACTGTAAAAAGCAATATGGCCGTCTATTATAACCACAAGACAAGAGGACAAAACTCCCTTTACAAAATACATTGTGAAAAATTAACTCCCCTTACATAAAACTTAATCATGAATTTACACGTCAGTTATCTCCCCCCACTAGACAGAGCAATCACAGGAGCAGACAACCAATATACTCCTGTACTTTCACTTTCACCACTGCTATAATAGATAGGTGCCATGATGTAAAAGTTAACACGGGCCCAAACTTTAGCCCTCAGCTATGATGTAAAAGTTAACAAGGGCCCAGCCAAACTTTAGCCCATCATCATATTCAGGCACATCACGTGATAAATGCCGTTTAAACGAAGACTACAGTATCGAACAAGCTTTCAACTTCCGCCATGTTGGGAACTCTTCCATTAAGACTAGAACCGGATGTGGCATGCGACTGTTTTGTGTCTGCTAACTGGTTCCTCCTGATGCTGCTATCTCGCCTTGGTGGCCTGGTGTCTTACTTAACCGTGCCTTTTGTTCAGCACGGGTTAAACGGTTAAAAAAATAATGCCAATCAATGCTCAGCTTGGCCAGATTTTTCTCAAAAGGAAAGCTAAACTTGGTTTATTGTTAAAGCTTTACAGGCAACACGTTTTGTATTCAGAACAAAAATTGAACTTTCTTTCAATCCGAAATTTGTAAAAATCGATTGTTGTAAGTCGATGCTAGTCCCGCGAACGTCTGTTACTCAAGGGCGGGATAACTCTGGGTTGGAAATAGGGGCTATCATCACCAGATGCAGTGAGTGGCAGGGGCGATAATCCTTGATAATCGCTATAGAAATATGAGATGGGATTATATTTGAGGACGAAGCTTTGCATTTTTTTTTTAAATTTAAATCTAAGTTGTGCGGCTGGATTATAAATGCGGTGAATTTTTTTTACAGATATGCGATTAAATTTTGTTTAATCCGGTAGATCAATTCTAAAAAATGGTATAAATTATTTGATTGTAAATACAGAAGATAAGCGAGTGGGTTAAACCTTTAAAAAGTGTTTGGAAAAAATTTGTTTGTGTTGCAGATGGTGTTTGTAGTACATACGGTGTTTGTAGTACATACGGTGTTTGTATTAAATACGGTGTTTGTAGTACATACGGTGTTTGTATCTTATAGTTTATGCGTATCTGTCAATGTGTTCCTATATATTATGCTACAATGCT